GCCTAGCAGATTTTACTTTTTTTTTTTAAAGTGGAAAAAACACTGCAGAGAAGCCACGTTATTCTTGATTAAAAGATGTATTCATTATTAAGCATTTTATTCAGATTATTTCATTTTCTGTGTTTCAAAGAGATCCCAAGATTGCTAGGTGCTACAATGCTAGGTGCCAGGTGCTACAGTGATCCATTGCTAAGTCCAGAGAAAGAAAAAGATTGGCATTTGTCACCAGGGAATGGTAGTTTCCTCCAGCCTCATTCATATCTGGCCACTGTCCCTTAATCCACCCTCCCCGTCAGCACCAGCGCCTCCATTCTGAACCCCAAGCCCCCTCACCTTTGCCCCTGGGGTTAAGTGTACACCACTGCTTTTTTTCAAGTCACAGCCTGTGAGTCTGTTTCAAATGAAGACAGCAGCAACCTCTTGCTCAAGGAGTTACATGAAGATAATGAGGGACTCACGATGGTAAAGCTCCTGAAAGGATGCCTGGTGGGTGGCAGGCAGACTGTCACGAGGGACTTAGCCACTGCCCCTTTGTGGTGACCCAATACTAGACACCTCTATGTGAAAGAAGGCGCGGTTCACATCGGCTCACATTTCAGTCATGGTCAACTGACTCCAAGACAGAAATGGCATGGTGGAAGGGCTTGGTGGAGGAAAGGCGCTCGCATCATGGTGATCAGGAAGCAGAGAGACAGAGGAGGGGCCAGGACGTGACACACACCCTCCCGAGGCACAGCCCCAGTGACCTGCATCTTCTGAGTAGTTCCCATGTGGTAAGCCCACACTGCTCTGTGAAAGTACCAGAGATTAATGGGCTGGGGTGTGCAGCACGCCTGGGGTCCAGTCCCATCTCTGAACATGTGAAACTACTGGTACACATCTAACTCGTAACATGGATGTAGACTTCCAGTAGTTACCTGTGTGATGTGCTAGAGCGTTCTGCTGTACCCAGCTTACCACTTTCTGCCTCAGTGCTGAGTTCCTTTCTTCACATACTTAGATTGCTTAGCACATCCTCCGTAGCATAGCCTATCACATCACAGAAGTAACCAGGGAGAAAACACCCTGGATCTTATCTCTAGCTCAGTGAGGGAGACACTAGGGGAGTAAACAGATAGTGGGCCTAATTGGAGTGGCGGAAAGAGTGGTGCTGTTTGCTTTTAATACCATCATTCAGACCTAAATTAAAGAGAAGCGAATTACGCAGCATTCTGTGTTAAGAGTACTCCAAGTGGAAGGCAAAGTTCTGAAATAGACATGCAGGCCTAGTTGGAAGCTCACCTAGGGACCTGGAGAGATTTGCAGAAGGTAAGAACAGAGATGCACCAAAACACCGCTCACACAGGGCTGCACTAGCTACTATCAGGATTCATATTTTTTCTTATGAATTAAACAGGAAGGCTGGGGGTTGTGGATGGTCTGATTTAAACTTTGAATTATTCATTCTGTTTATTCTGGGGACAGGAACTTGGCCAGAAGGGTCGAGGGCAGAAGTCAGAGACTTTCAAAGACTCTTGTAATAGTTCACCAAGAATGGCAATGTATTATGTCTTTCACTTCCTGTTCTGCGCAGTGGCTATTCAAGAACATGCTTTAATACCCTTGCTACATTGTAAATTCTGTGCAGACCAGGATTCCAAGTGTCCTTCTCTCGCTGGTCATGACTGCCTTGGTGTTCGAACCTTGCATCAGTATTTTGACATTGAGGGAGACCCAGAATTCATCAGGTATTTAATGCTGAGGGCCTCAGACCCAGTGTAAGAGGGTAAGGATACTCCACAGTGTTTGCAAACCAGCCTTTCCATTGGGGGCGCATAGTAGCAGTGTTCACATTTTTGGTCTCATCTCCTAAAGACACTCAGGAAAGAGGACTCCAGAACTGTCTCAGGAAGTGGCAAAAAGGACAGGATGTGTTTGAAGCAAGGGGAACATTTTTGAGAGAAATTATTGACAATGTGTCTTTTACTATATTTTCAAATTTAAACATTGACTTTACAGTGAGAATACCCATTGTATTTGTAGAGAGCAGAATTCATAAACCAAAAAATACATGTTTTGATACCCACAGAATAGAAAAATAAATTACTATCACACTCCCCCAGCAATACTCTGTATAATTTCCCTTCATACTTAATTCAGAGAGCGTACACATCCATCCCTTTGTGTTATAAAAGAAAAAAAAAAATAAGGTGTGAGTGGAAAATAAAAAGGAAATGTGAAAGTAAAAGATGTAGCCTTCGTACGCTCCAGGAATCTTGATCACAATGATAAAAACATATCAAACACAGCACACAGATACACTTGCATGTGTTTGGTCTATTTCTGGTATTTTGTATGTGCGTCTCACACCTCTGCCTTGAAAGTGTGTATTTTCTGTATGTGAGACGTGAATTTCGCAAACAGCGTTGCCTAAGCCTGACTACTCTCCCTTTGTAAAATTCCATCCAGTACATGGAAGTTCAAATCTCTTCAGCTTAAACTCATAGATGGAGCTGGATAAAAACTATACAAAATATTCGAAGAAGTAATGAAAATATGCCTTTCCTGTGTCTCATTCAAGGGGTTTTTCTAAAATGTACTTTGAAAAACTTTGGACTGGGGCCAACAACAGTTGTAAAATATTGTTATCCTGCACCAAAGACATAAAAGACACACCTTCCCCCCAATTTTTCACAGTGTTGGAGCTAAGTTCTGTTCTTCTGTGATGGCCTTTCCGTTGGCAACCAAGCACAGAAGAATAAAGCTTATGCTAAGACACACCGGTTAGTATCTGTGGTCTTCCTGCCCCTCCCCCCACCCCCACCAAATAAAAGTAAAGCTGCTACTGTCTCTGGGGAAAAGGAAATGCCCCGCAGAGCAGTCTAAACAGACTTTCATGGTAAAATACCCATTCATAATTAATTTCTTGCTTCCTTTAGAATCAGACAGGTTAAGCAGTTGGTCACATTCAGTAAATAAGAAATTACTTGCAGTAATATCTGCAACATTCTAATCATCTTCCCCTGTCTGAAGCCCGTTTTAGAAGTCTTTGATCTGCATTACAGTGGAAAGGACATTGAACGTGGAGAAAGATTTGATTATATATTCAACTTTGCCACCTCCTCTTTGTGTGGCTTGGGAAAGTCATCTAACCTAAACATCTCCATTTATTTCCTTGTGATGAAGGGCATAGCAATCTGTACCCTGCGGGGCTGTAATAAGGACCCACTAGGATAAAAGGTGAAGATCACACATGCACGGGTCACACAAAAATAGCTGCTAACTTCAGATACTAAATGACACACTGGAATTACGGTTCTAAAAGTGGTATTTCAGAGCCCCGCCCTATCTCAGCATGGATATGATGTTGTGGATTGGAAAATGTGTTCCCTCATCTTCTTTCTGCATATTATTAAGAAGTATAATATAACACAATTGTTTAATTATATCATTAGGTGGGGTTATTTTCTTCGTTAGATACATAAGGAAAAGGTTTTCAATTAACAGTGACCTTTGCGACTTTTTTAGTTTGGGTTCCATAGCTGGTGAAGCTGACTGCAAATGAGATTGGACAGTGTACCTTGTGCTTACTTTTTCAGCCTCTGATTGCATTCCTACAGTTGGCCACAGTCCCCTGCTCCTTTCAGCTTGCAATTTTGTAGCAATCTCAAACACTGCATTCAATCCCCCGAGGTATTCTGTGGAAAGGCTGTCAAACTAGTTCGATGTATTTGTGTTTTCATTCTGAAAATGTGCTTTGTACTCATTTAAGAAAACCAGTCTTTAATTTGTAACAGAGCATTCTCAGGGTGAAATATAGAATTTCAGGCCTCAGCAAAATCACTGGCATATGACCGTAGCTGTCTATTCTAAATCTTGAAGTGCCTGACTTCTGTTAGACACAGAATTGTATTTTTGCATCTTCTTATAATATGTGACTTTAAATAGCTTAAAACTTACTAATTATGAGTTTGTATGCTATTATCATCTGGCTCAAGTTTGTCTTTGATCTCTCTTTCCTCTTAACCTGCAGCCCATGTTTGCTTCTAATTTCACAAAATGCCCAATTTTCTTGTCTGTACCTGATACAAAATTGCCCACATATTCACTCCTGTGGGGCATACTGTGTCTTACATGATTCAAATATCCCTGCCATTTTCCCATTTTCCATGGACATCCTTTCTCTTCACCTCCAACACCTTTCCACAGCTAGGTGACTCTTGTCATTCCAGGAACCTGTGTATGCTTTAGTCTGTGTCTCCCCTTTCGCATCAGTCACAATTGTTACTGCCGTTCTTTTCTTCGTGAGACTAAAATTTGTAGAAAGCAAGAGCAATATATTTTTTAAAAAATTTATAGATAGGTACCTAATAAATATTTGTGCATTCATAAATGCTTGCTAGAAAACTATTGGAAAGATAGTAAACAGTGTACTACTGAAAGGGATATATTAGCTTTGCTACATTTAATTATGACAGCCGTCAGTAAAAGCCTTCTTTAAGTTTATCAGTAAAATACATTTGAAGTTTCAGTATAGAAGTTAACAGCTCAGCAAATGGTTTTAACCTTCATACTTCTGTGATACTGTAGCCTTTCAACCACCAGTTCTTCATATTCACATATGGAATGGGTGAAAATAGTCCAGTTTATAGACCTTTCTTCTTTCTTATAATTTAAGAACAATGAGTTTTAACAAGCAAAAGTGTTATTAGAGCTAATTTAAGTCCATGTAGATATATTTGTCCTCCAAAAGGAATGGAGCACAAGTTTTGTTCTGAATTGAAACAAACACACATATGCCCACACACACACTTTAAAAAGCAACTGTCTGTGAGTGTTGTTCGCATCTGCATTGGGAATGGAAGATGTGGGTCGGTATTTGTATCTCCCAAATTTATGCCTGATGTACTCATTTGATGCTGTGCTATTATTTGGCACATGGAAAGGAAACACATAACAAAGATAATGGCAGCTCCTATTTTCATTTGGACTCATATCGTTGTGTCTCTGGTAATTTGCAGGTGTTATTTGGAAGATGGAGCTTCAAAGGGTGCCTGGCTGAACCGATCAAGTATTATCTTTGCTGGAGGTGATAAGTGGTCAGTGGATCCTCGAGTTTCAATTTCCACATTGAATAAAAGAGATTACAGCCTCCAAATACAGAACGTAGATGTGACAGATGATGGCCCATACACGTGTTCTGTCCAGACCCAGCACACACCGAGAACGATGCAGGTGCATCTCACTGTGCAAGGTATGTTTTTCCAGATGTGCTCTACCATGCAGGGCCTGCTTACAATGTTTAATATTTAGATTCCAAAGTGACTTGGGTGCAGCTGACAATATTGGGAGCTGTGATGTCTTTGTTTTCATGGAATTGTGTTGCTAGATACCATTGAGTGTGAGAGCTCCTACAGACAAACAACACCACTTACAAAGAGCAAGAAATTTCCATTAATGCCACATTGTGTTTTTTACCCATGAACTACTTTGTATCTTTCTTTCAATTATCTCTTCTATAAATTTTTGAGAGCCCATAATAGACACATTAAAATAAATATTTGAAAGCCTGTGATAGATACATTGAAATATTAAACTTCTTGAAATATGGATGATAACTGTTTAAAAGCAAATCCTCCAGCCTTCCAACACCCTGTGTCTACCCTACTTCTGTTTAATTTGATTCAAATTACAATGAAAAGTGGAAGCCTTTTAGAATTATTTCATTTAAATATAGAGTAATTGCAAAATATGTACACAATGTTTTATGCTTTGATTTAATTTCAGGAGATCATAAATTATGCTATCTAATATATAATCTCCTAATAGAGACAGAATCATTATTTTCCTTCTCTTGCATACTAAAATGTAAAAGCCTATGTATCTCCCATGCAAATAATTTTCAATAAAAATGCAATTATAGTGCTAGTAAAGTGAAAAAGGTATATTTTGCCCTTTTCCATTATTTACTTATGATTTAAAGATTAATACTGTTTTGCTGGCATAGAAATATTCTGTGTGGAACTCAAAGACATTGCGATATTTCTAACAAAAGATTGCATGAAAACACGGTACGAATTGCACACGTGTTCAATGTGCACCATGAGAGTTGCACGAGCACCTCTGTTGTACTATCTCTGAGTTTATCCTTCGGGACACTTTTAGAGCTTTAGTTTCTCATACAAAAGGTAAAGGTGAATTCATTCACAGCTTCAACATTTTGATAAGATTAAGCTTTTTATTAAGCAATTTGCCTTAAGGAATAGAGTATAAACTGAATGAGTAATTGCTGAGTTTCCTCAGTAGTCTTTCTTACTGCAGGTTGTTGCATAATGTGATAATGTTTATTATGTGCAAGTGTCATGTGAGAATATGGTACGTTTTTCACAAGAATCTAACTTCAGTCCCTGATTTTCCCACAATCCAGAGGGCAGGTATTTGCTCAGATTCAAAACTGACATGAAATTACAAAATACAAACACATTTCTTGTCATCCAGATTCAGGTTTGTTTGTGTTTGTTTGTTTTGTTTTGCCTTTTGACCTTAATTTTTAGCCCAAGGACTGAAATATTTTTATTTTTTATTCAAAACTCTCTTTCAATAGTGCCATAATTGATTCACTTAAAATTCAGACATTGTACTTGTACTCTGTAAACTTTCAATGGTATATATCTGTACACTAAGTGTACCCTTTTTTCATTTTCAATTCTTTTCTTCTGTGTTATGCTTCTGTTTTTAAACCAGGCTATCATATATATTATATATTTAATTTCCATAGGAATTCTGTTTAATCTTACAATATACAGATTTTTAATAGAGTTAAACAACTTTGAAACTAGCCTATGACTTGCTATAGTCATACGCAATTTTGCTAGTCATTTGGTAATGGTGAACTTTTGGCAAGTTAAAAATGTTCTTATCAAATTTTTTATTAGTATAATATTATTAGTATAATATTTTGTGCCTTTAGAAAATAGCAAATTCACTCCAACTGTTCTGAACCTATATGGTGGGATCAAATTAAAGTTAATAATTTTAAGTATTTATGAACATAATTACTTATTATGAGTTGATTGATATGTGAGTTATTTTCCAATGACATAACTAAAGTTCAGGGGAGTCCATTAATAGGCTTGTCAGTCAATTCAGAAATAAAATAAATATCATGAAAAGCCAATTCCACATAAGTGACATTACTTCTCATTCAGCAAAAGTAAATTGATGTACACATCTCTTCAGTTTCTAAATGTGTTGAGTTGCGTCATCTTCAGTTGGAGATCAACAATGCTGAAGCGTGTACTCTTCACCTAACAATCTGTCAATCCTTTGTTCTCCAAGGTAACAGAAGTTAGCAATGGGGCGAGGCCCTGCTAGTCACTGATGTCAGTTGTTGACTGGTACAAAGTGATGTTTGTCCTTAAAAGTGATAGGTTTTTAAGATCATTATTAAAACGGAGTATCTAAGTGACGATTTTACCATTAGAGGTGATAGGTATGGGAAATTTGTTGGTTCGAATTCTTTTTCAAAGCTTTTAATAAAAAGAATAGACCAAGAATGAAGGAAAAGCATGGAATAGGAATCAGAAAACTTGAACCCCAATCTCAAGTTTTCCCTCATAAAATGAGTATTTCTGAATACATGAACACTCATTTTCTCAGCCAAAAGAGAACTACACAAAGCAGATCTTTAACTCAAAAAGCACGAGCAAAACAACCAAAACAATCACAAAGAAAGTAAACAAGCAAAAAACCACTCTACTGTCACTGTTTGTTTTTTACTTAAAAGGGCAAAACTACATTTAATAAGAACTATTCCATAACTAACTCACAAACTGTTTTATGCCTAGCATTTACTAGAATTTGGTCCAAAAGTGAATCTCATTTTTTTTTTCATATTCCTTCATCAACTGAGCTGAACAATGTATGTACAAGTGGAAATTAAAGTATCTGATAATTTGAAATTTGGCTTAAGGAAGTGAAAACTGCTTAAGATATTCAGTAACAAAATAAGTGTTTTCCATTAACTATGTATAACTTTGTATTGATACAACAAAATTACCCAACTATTCAGTGTTTTAAGTCATGTGATGGAACATTTACATAGTGCAATCTTTATGATTTATGGATATGAAAGGTGTGAGACTGGCAAATTTGTTATGAAGCTAGAACTCTCAATTATACTAGCAGAAGGAGACGTGAAATGTGGTAAGTGATACTTATGTGAACAGGCACTAGAATGGCTTCTGCTTTGAAAGATTCATAATATGCATCAGGTAATATAGAGCAAAAAATAGACACAGTTATTGTCTATGAAATGATTACATAAGAAATGTTTATAAAGTGCTTGTATAAGAAATGTTTATCATTTTACCTATGCACTTTTGGGGAGTTATATTCTAGAAATTCTCTGAAAAGTAGGAGACTTGACTTGCACATAACTATGAACAAAACAAACTTTAAGGTGTATTTAACTTTGTAGGACATTGGCATTTCCTTACGGTGTTGGATCTACCTAGAGTGTCTGTGATGGAAGGGTGAGTAGGCTTCTTTTACAAGGCAGGGCTTGTTTCTCCAGCCACTGAAAAGGTAGCCATCAGATATCAGTCGGGGATTAGCCCCTCGTGAGACATCGTTAGTTGCAGAGAACCACGTTGGCCAAAGTCAAGCCCTGCTACAACAGCCAATATCTGATGATGGACTGAGGTAAAGGCTGAAAAATTCCACCTTTTCAGGCCAAAGTAGGGTAACTCAAATGAGCCATTTTACTGCAGAGCTCCAGATGGATACCTGAGCTGTGGTCCACCATGCACTATACTTCAATTTCTCCCTCTAGTCAGTCTTATTTCTTACCTCCCCCTAGGACTTGATTACAAGCACATTCCTTAATGAATATTCTGCACTCCAAACTCCACCTGGCTTTGGAATCTTCTAATCAAAGACTTTAAACTATGGCCATGTTAGGTCTTTTCCTGGCTTACTTATTGGTGTGAAAAAGCCTTTGTAAAATGGAAAGACAGCTCACTCAAACATCATTTATTATTAACATCCAGTTTTATTCTGGAAGGAGTTTAAAGTGGCTTATGAAGAACTATTCAGTGCACCAAGATAAAAATAGGGCGTGGGAAACAAAACACAAGCAAGGTACAAGGAGGGTGCCTCAGAGGTGAAGGTAGATCATTAAACTTATGTCATGATTTCTGTGTACTTTCCAAACTTTTAAAAACATTTAGTTCTTAGATTCCTAGCAGCCAGTGCAGAGATGCACAGGCTCAGTAATTCATTTCATGGTCCATAACATCTCAATACCCTGATCCTCTTACTCAGAATGAAGCATTTCTACTGCGGGCTGACTGCGAGAGGCCCTGGAAGGTGTGAGGACTGGTCACACAGCACATACAGCGACCGCTCACTGGGCTGCCCTTCATGACACCTTCAGGGCAACCTGAAGGACAGAGGCGAACAAAAATGCATATTAAATAGAAATTAAACAAACTTCCAGTTAAATAAACCAAACAGAATCTTATTTGAATATTATCTTAATCTACCCATACATTTAGAGCCCGTCCTTGATACAGACTTCTACAAGTACCATTTCTCTAAATGTATGTTTACTTTTAAGATATCAAGTAAGCATACATTAAAATTATACTGACCAGGGCTGGGGATATAGCTCAGCGGTAGAAGCACCTGCCTGGCAAGCACAGGATCCTGAGATCAATTCCCAGTACCAAAATAAGTTAATTAATTAATTAATTAAAATAAAATTATACTGGCCAGTGAATATCAGAGGAACAACTGTTCTATGAGGCCACAGATAAGAGTTTGTATTATTTTCAACTAGTACATCTTAGTTTGCTCTTCACCTCTTTCTGATGACCACAAAGGCCTGGATCGTCACTCATCTGAAGTCAGGGACAGCACAGGTCCATCGCAGGTTCCACTGATGCCCTTCACATCTCAGGATGTGGGCTTGCTCTCCCCTAACAACTCACATGGGAAGAAAGCCCAAATGGTCAAAAAGCGTGTTACAATGCCACGTATGCTGGAAAACTCAAGTCATTCCGCAGCAGTGAACATTTCAAAACATTCAACAAGCGATAAAATGATATCCAGAAAAAAAAAAAAAAAAGTGACCCCTAAGAAGAGTTTCCTGGTGCCTGAAGATGTCAGTGTTTTCATGATTTACTGGCAGTGAGGGCTGAGGAAAAGATCCTCTAACTAGTTCCTACTCTGTTGGATTCAATCTGTCCTCCT